ATATTTTGAAATTCATCCCACGATTAATAAAAAATATTTTAAATTACAAATTTTAAGAAGATTTTAATCATTTTAAAATACCATAGTGAAGTTTTTTATTTAAACAGAATAGAAGAACGAAATCGCATAATACTTATGACTTCAAATTTTAGTTGAATGTACGCCCGTATAGAGCTTGTACAGAAGAACTGCTAATATTTTATCAAAATTTATTGACTTTGAACACAGTTCTTTTCATACACACGTATACACATGGCCGGCTGAATTATATTAGGGGCTCTTGGACAAAAACAAATTTCATACCCTATAACTATTTTTTTTAATAAGATATATATATATATATATATATTAAAAGGTTTTTAAACTAATTAGGTAATTTATTTAAATTTTATTAATCTTTCTACTTTATCACATATGTTAGGCCATATTTAAATTTAAGCTCATATCATCTACGCTAATGAAACAAAAAAACATTGAAAAGAAAAAATGCTATGCCGACCTTGCATATACAAAATTTACAAACAAACACAGGTCTGCTAAAATAAGACTTTTTGGGTTGACCATTCTTCTATATCATTTGCGATGGCTTTTAACATGTTCATCATTAATATATTTTGCGTGCACGAGAAAACAAATTTCTTTACCCGTTCATATCCAGTGGCAGAGGTAGAGCTTAGGGAGGGTCTGCTGACCCCTATGAATTTTCATTACAAAAAGAAATTACGTGTATTTTTTATTACAAAACTACTGAAATGTTATGAAATCAGTACATTGACCCCGGTAATATTTACTCAAAATTAACTTGACTCATGATTTAATATTTACTCAAAAATATTACATGTAATTTTTATTAGAAAACTAGTGAAATGCTATGAAATCAGTACATTGACCGGCAATATTTACTCAAATTTAACCTGACTCATGATTAATTATATTGACCCCGTACAACTGTTCAAGTAAAACTCATTTGGTTAATTAACGGAGTCAAGTTAGTTCTTTTGTGAACCAAAACATTTCAAAACAGAGTATTATTCAATAATAAACCTGAGCATCGTTACTATACATGTGTTATGTATATAGTCCTACAAATATGATATAATAAATGGAAAAAAGGAAGCAACAAAGAAAATGAGGAGTTTGAAGGATGCTCAAGTAGAGGAGACAATTTTAGGAATATGGTTCGAGAAAATTATAAGAAAAAAAAGTAAATACAGTGTACCATTTTCATTGTTTGGTAGGAATCAACTTTCTTGAGATCGATTGCTATTTTGTAATATTCTTGTCTTTGTTTTGTTTGTTTTTGTTTTTGAAATACTGTAGTTGTTTCATTTTTAGGTGCATATTTTTTATAAAAAAAAGTCTAAATAAATTTTAAACTTCTGATTTAAAAGACAGATCATTGTACTAAAGAAAGTTTGAATTAAACCTTTTGTGTCCTTGTTCTATACCTTTTTGTGCTAAAAGGTGAAGATGTAATTTATTAAATTTCTAAACATTGATTATCTATTAAAATAAATTATGGAAATATCTGACACTTTCACAATCTTTTAAAAATTATTTTTAATAGTTGTTGTAACCAAACATTTTAAAAAGTATTTTTTGGAACAAATGTTTAAAAGTTATGAACATTGATGATAAATCATCCAATATGATTTAAAGTTTGTGGGTATTTGGAATATTCTTAAGTTTTAGAATATCCATTAGTTTACTCTAGTTGTTGATGGATAACTATTATTATATTTATATTAGACTCACAAGATTGCATACTTTAAAACAAACATTTTCAAAAATTTCTTAAAAGGGTGTATATAAAGAATAATAAATATGGGTAAATTATGCATTTATAAATTTTCATCAAAAGTGTAAAAAGACAATTCAATATACTCTGCTAAACCGAAACAGAGAGAATATAGATGACAGGCACTAATAGAAATGATGGAATCAATGTGTGTGGGACATTTCTGAGTGGAAAACTAGGATAGAGAGATAGATTCATTCCTCCTATTCTCATGCAAAATAATAGAGGAACATGTTTTACCTAAGTTTGTTCACTCATTCATTCAATTTTAATGGATAAACTAGATCATAACCCGCCCGACTGGGCGGGTATTTATTTTTATGGTATATATAAACATTTCAAAAATTACAATCTAATGGTTCCAATTTGACTAAGTAATAGTACATTATTTAAACATTGTATTTCATCACTGTATTGTGTAACAGGGGCGTCGCAAAATATTGTGACCCGTAAACATTTTATTAATAGTTTATAATTTTTTTTTTTGCTAAATTTGGTGCAAAGTTATATACATTAAACAATTTATTCAAATTTTTAAGTTAATTTTTTAATGAAGAATTGAAAGGCTAGTATATCACTGTTAAAAATTTATAACAATAGTCAATATAAATTATATAAATAAAATATATATTATTCTTGATTTATTTTAAATACATTTAAAACATGAATACATATATGTATAAATAATTTTCAGAAATAAAATAATATCAATGATAGAAACCCAAAAACAANTGTTAAAAATTTATAACAATAGTCAATATAAATTATATAAATAAAATATATATTATTCTTGATTTATTTTAAATACATTTAAAACATGAATACATATATGTATAAATAATTTTCAGAAATAAAATAATATCAATGATAGAAACCCAAAAACAATAATAATGATACTTTGGGCCGCAGTAATCTTTAGTTTAATAAATAAACCCATTAGATTTGTAGGCTATCATTGTTTCCAATCATTATAATTTTAAATACTTATTCATGTTTCCAAACACTAATTTTTTCTACTTCAGCTTTAATAGTATAAGATGAGTTTAATTACTTTTTAATCCAAATGATACAAATTTAGAAAAATGTTTTCACGGATTTTTATTCCACTCAAATGATACAAATTTAGAAGAATGCTTAATTCCACCCACCCTTAGCACTCTAAATATATAATTGTTTACATTCTTTTTTTTGTCAACATATAAAATTGCTTACATTCAAAGATGAATAATTTAAGAAACATCAATATAATGGGCCGACAATAAAAATAATATAATGGGCCTAAATAAATTTACAAAAGGTTTCCATGTTTTTTTTGTAGTGTTATTGCAACTTTATTGAACACGTTAGGATAGGAACAAGACCAAGCCAAAAGAATGTTTAGAAATACTGGCTCAAATATTTTAATTTTACTAACGAAAATGGAAAACGAAGTATTATTCTTGTACCACACCCAAAGAACAGATTGTTCATGACAAACCCTCAATATATTTTTTTTCTCTTTTCCTATAAACCATTCGTAAGACTGTTCTTTTCTACTGTTTTAAGAAACTTTATTTAAACTCTTTGTGTAAGTTTATCGAATTCTGAATCACAGCACTACTAAAAACATGGGAAGCTCTTCTTGTACACACTGCAGCATCAAAACATGGCGAAACACTCAGTCAGTTTGTTATCACGCAAACAGATTGCCAGTACCTATCATCGTGTAAGAAAAGTATAGTAAGCTCAATTCCTGCTTATCCAGCAAATAGTCAAGGATACTTATTTTATTAAAAATATATGTCAAGTAACGAGCCAACTGTCCCAAAAATCTGAGATTGCATCAAGGATGGGCCAATATAGCATTAAAGAAGGGGAAAAAAAAACAAAAGGAAGAGAAGAGAAGAAATTACGATGTGCCTTACAACAAGTGTCCATAGAGTACACGGCATAGGACGTGTTGCCTTTCATTTGTAAGGAGCAAAGTTATGATGCTAGAGTTCTGGCCACCAAAACCAAAAAACTTTGACAAGGCTGCTTTGATATTCAGTCTCTCCTTCTTAAGACCCACCAGTAGCTTTGTATCCTCCTGATTCAAAAGCAGAATGTGTAGTTCATATAACAATGTACAGTACATGCATGATGAATGTATAGTTTATATCATATAACAACTTACCATGATAGATAAGTTGGTCACTGGTGACTAAGTAACAAAAGATCACATCTATTTTGCCTGCTCTTAGGCAGACACCACCATATGGACAAAACATAGAAAGTGGGTTACTCTGGAACTTGGAATACATCAGATTGGTACTGATATTTTGAATCATCTTCTGCAAATGGGTCAGCAATCTATGATTCTTCTAAACCTCTAAGCTTGTAATGGTATGGGCCTAGAAAAGCCCACTAATAGTTACAGTTACAGTCTTGACTCTTGAGTCTTCTAATGGTCGGTCACAACATAACTTCCGAAAACGGTGACTTCACGTATGTATTAATCACCGGTTTATCGACACGTATTGACGTATATATACAGATAATAGAGTTGATTACATAATAACACGAGTTGCTATATTAATCAACAAAAATGGTTCTTTCATCTTCACTGTCACGTCTTTTTGATGTAAATGGTTATAATCATATACGTAGCGTCTTACGACGTGTGTGTGTAGACTTGACTAATGCAAATATGACATGATTGAACTTTACTTTTTGAAGAAATTTTAAACTTTCCTTTTCCCGTTTTCTTTACCCCAGTAATAATTTCCTTTCAAGTTAAAGTTTTCCTTTTCGAATAAAAAGTTTCTTTAATTGGGTTTGCTTGTAATATAGAAATCATTAAATTAAGCGTTTCAGAGTTCGTCCACATCATTAATTGATTATTGTAAATATACTTTTTTTTTTCTTTTCCTAGCTTTACCAATGAAAAATAATAAAAAGTTCTTTAATTTTCATTTTTAGCTTTACCAATGAAAATAACAAATTCGAGAACATAACCTTTTAAATAATTCTTCTGTGAATCAAAACCGAGAGATAGGCAAGATTTTAATTTCTATAATCAAGTGAACAATTAGGATATATGTCACTTATTATTATTAAACAATATTTTATCTTATACATATACTATAAAAATGTGAAAAATTTAAGATTTGCAAATAAGAATTGACTTTTTTTAATCTGTGTTTTGTCTCTCTATCTCTCCTGTCTTAACTTTCCAGCGTCGGAAAAAACGTTTCTCCCTGTGGAAGGAGACGACCAAACTCCCCGACGCGGAGACTTTATTCTTAAACTAAATTATCCTCTGCTATCTCGTATTCAAAGCTCTCTCTCGATCAACGATCTCTTCATCAAAAAAAAAAAAAATAAGCGATTTTTATTTATTTAATTTGGGTTTATGCATTTGCACAAAAAAGAAAGATTGACTTTTTTTTTTGAAAATAGCGTAGTAATGAAGCACATTCTGGGTTGGTTCCTTTTGAGTTAGAAGAAGACATTGATTTTGTCAAACTTACTTACCTTCTTGATTTTTTTTTTTTTTTTTTAAAGAAATTCCTTTACTCTTTTTTTTCTTTCCCTTTACTCTTTTTCTGTAAGATTCTTAGATTCTCCACCAAAGTTTTAAGCTAAAGGAGTTTCCTTTTTTAAAGATTCTCCTTGTTGCGTTCAGTTTCTTGATTCGATCGTTTCGTGTATCCTCAAAAGGCAGAGTAGAAATCTTGTTTTAGATAGAAGCATACTGAGATCTTCTCTGATCCAGGTAACTTCTCAGGCATCTACCGCTTATTTGATAGCTCCTTACTTAATTGGTTACAGGTTTAGGGTTTATTCATGTGTTGGGTCATTCAAAATGCTGTTTTTATTTTTTGCTGTTTGGAAATGAACTAGTGAAACAACTTTGTTTTGTGCAGGTGAAAAGAAGTTTAGCTGCCTGAATTGACTGATAAGCAGAGATAGATAGTTAGTAGGAATAGGCAAAGATGGGTTGGTTTAATAAGATCTTTAAAAGCTCTACACAAAGGTTCCGGATTGGGAATGACCACAATCAACATGGCTATTACAACAATTATCCACATGATGAGCCTAGTCCAGATCCTGATCCTGATCCTGATGATACTCATACTCAGGAACCTTCTACATCTGAGGTTTACTATATAACTGTCTTTATCTGATCATGGTTTATACTCTTGCTTGAACATTTGTTGTTTCCCTTTTTTACTAGGAGGATACATCTAATGACCAGGAAAATGAAGAGATTGACCGTGCAATCGCATTGTCTCTTCTAGAGGAGAGTCAAGGACAGACTAATACAAGCGCCAGTGAGTTCCTTTTTCCTAGCCAAACAGAGATATGAAAAAGATTTGTTATCAAACATCGGTTTGCTACAATAGTGAATGCAGGGAAGTACGCAATGGTGGATGAAGATGAGCAACTAGCTAGAGCCATACAAGAGAGTATGGTAGTTGGGAATAATACACCGCGTCAGAAGCATGGAAGTAGTTATGATATTGGGAATGCATATGGGAGTGGAGGAGATGTATACGGGAATGGACATATGCATGGAGGTGGAAATGTTTATGCCAATGGAGATATTTATTATCCAAGACCTACTGCTTTTCCTATGGATTTCAGGTTCACTTTTGATAGTCAGTTTAATTTGGTTGATGTTGTTAAGTTTCTTTCCAGCTAAATGACTTGTCACTGCATAGGATTTGTGCTGGTTGTAATATGGAGATTGGTCATGGAAGGTTTCTGAATTGCTTGAATTCATTATGGCATCCAGAATGTTTTCGATGTTATGGCTGTAGGCACCCCATTTCTGAGTACGAGGTGAAGTCAAGCTCTTCCAGCTTCTCAGTTAACCTTTGAAGTTAATGCATAACATGTTTTCCTCTTTTTTTTTTCTTAATAGTTCTCAACATCTGGGAACTACCCTTTTCACAAAACTTGTTACAGAGAGAGATACCATCCAAAATGTGATGTCTGCAGCCACTTTGTATGTAAATCTTTAGCCTTTTACATCTTTAAAGTCCCTTCTCTGCGTTGTTTTCTTCGGATATTACACTTATATTCTGTTGCTTTCTTTTTCTTGAATGCAAATTTCTTGTGACAGATTCCAACAAACCATGCTGGTCTAATTGAATATAGGGCACATCCTTTTTGGGTCCAGAAGTATTGTCCTTCTCACGAACACGATGCTACCCCAAGATGTTGCAGTTGTGAAAGAATGGAGGTAAGTTTTTCTCCCTTCTATGTTCACAACAAACTTTTTGGGAGGAAATTTTCCAACATTCCTTTTGTTTTTTGTAGCCAAGGAATACAGGATATGTTGAACTTAACGATGGACGGAAACTTTGTCTCGAGTGTCTGGACTCAGCAGTGATGGACACTTTTCAATGCCAACCTCTGTATCTGCAGATACAAGAATTCTATGAAGGGCTTTTCATGAAGGTAGAGCAGGACGTTCCACTTCTTTTAGTTGAGAGGCAAGCACTTAATGAAGCCAGAGAAGGTGAAAAGAATGTAAGTAAAAAAGAAAAACACAATTACATTTTTGTTGTTTCCAGAGTGTTTTAGCTTTTGGTTGTGTGCTTCTTAGGGTCACTATCACATGCCAGAGACAAGAGGACTTTGCCTTTCAGAAGAACAAACTGTTAGCACTGTAAGAAAGAGATCTAAGCATGGGGCAGGAAACTGGGCTGGGAATATGGTTACAGAGCCTTACAAGTTAACACGTCAATGCGAGGTCACTGCCATTCTCATCTTGTTTGGGCTCCCTAGGCTACTCACTGGTTCAATTCTAGCTCATGAGATGATGCACGCGTGGATGCGGCTCAAAGGTGAGAGTTTCTTTGCTCTATTTGACTGCTTCTTATATTCTCTTGTTTCACATTGTTGAATCGTGTTATTACAATGTGGTCTTGAAAAGGGTTTCGGACACTGAGCCAAGACGTGGAGGAAGGAATATGTCAAGTGATGGCTCATAAGTGGTTAGAAGCAGAGTTAGCTGCTGGTTCAAGAAACAGCAATGCTGCATCATCATCTTCATCTTCTTCTTCTTCTAGAGGAGTGAAGAAGGGACCAAGATCGCAGTATGAGAGGAAGCTTGGTGAGTTTTTCAAGCACCAAATCGAGTCTGATGCTTCTCCGGTTTATGGAGATGGGTTCAGGGCAGGGAGGTTAGCGGTTAACAAGTATGGTTTGGGAAAAACACTTGAGCATATACAGATGACTGGTAGATTCCCGGTTTAAGAACAAAGTCTATTGTTTTTTCGATTGTGGTACCCTCATATTCTTAATGTGATTGAATTATAGTTGTAATCATTCCATGATTCTTTTGTATTTCTGTTATCAGATTCACAGATGGTCCTAGCCTAAACCGAACCGTATCAAACCAAACCGAAAACCAAACTGAGAACTAAATAACTGAATACTAATCTAAAGGTTTCTATTTACACACTCCAAAGGGTTTCTACTACGCTTGGTCAAGAATTAGTAAAATCTAGTTCTTCACTTTCAAAAGCTTTGGTTCTTTGGATATGAAACTATTCACCACAAGTCTTTTGACTGTGACAAAGCTAAAGAATTGACTATTGTTGCTTGTTAGTTGTCAGAGTTGGATATTGTTGAAATATCTTTTATCAATCTGTTAATCTATATCTTCTCACATCCGCCATAACAGATATTGGTCAAACGATGGGATATGTTACTATGTCGTCACTGGTCTTATTTAAAAAGATAAGATGATCAACAGATCAAACGAGTAAACTCTCTAAATCAGATTGTTGGTCAACTATTGTAAATGTTTGATGTAATAAATGTGATTGATTAAGAGTTAAGTTGCTTCAGATCAACTCAATCTACTGTGATTAAAATTGACGAGCTACTTTTTTTTTTCTTTCTTGAATGTGTGAACATACCACAAACCTACTTTTTTTTTCTTGAATGTGTGAACATACCACAAACCTACCTTCGATTTGTGTCTCTCATCTGCCAAACCGGAGATATTATCCCGGTCTAATTTAGTTTGATATGTTTTTGAATGGTACTGTTGCGACACGGTAGGCCCATTGTCACGTTTTGCTTTATAAAAGTTCAGAAGGCACTCAACTTGATATTTATAGGCTAGAGTCATATAAATTTCCATTCAGAATAATAAATTTGATGTAACAGTCTCTTTGTGTTAAGAAGAGGAGTACATCAAATAGAAATTGGAGGGTAAATAAAATTTTAAAATGTTACGGATGTACGAAAAATAATGAATGTATGCTCAAAGGTCAAACTGAACATCAATGTATGATGGGACTTCGCTCGTGCCATTTTCCTTTATCTCGCTCAGACCACCGACACACTGCTCCAATTGTTTTCTTACAACGTAAACCAATTATTAAACTTTTTTTAATTTGCTAATTAATTAACATGATGGATCTGCATAGTAGTCTCTCATTCCTTCATTCAAACATGTCCCGGGTTACAAATTTACTTGTAGTAGTCCATTTACTACAGGAATGTAGAACACTTTTTGAGAAAAAAAATAGCTACGCTGTTATTTCTACCACTATTTACACATAAAGAGTGTCATGGGGATATATGTCGAAAGCAGCTAGTTTGGTTTTCATATTTTCTTCTTTAGTTTTTAGGGTTTTGTATGGTTTGGTATTTTCATTAGAGAAAATGAACTTACACGTGCTTCTGTTTTTTTTTTTTTTTTTTTTTTGTGAAAGATGGATGATACAACTTCGAAAATTAGGCAACACATGTGCCCCCTCAACCTATGAACCATCTACACATAGAATCGGTCCATGGAACAGCATATACCTTCCTTTTACAATTATAGTTGGAAAGGCTATAAATTCTATCACATATCACATATGCAAACGCAAACATATTCCTTTTGCGGTTAATAAACACGCAATAATTATTCAGTCATCTCCTTTGATTTCTTTCCTACTGTGAACAAACCGAAGAACATAACAGTGTAAAAGTGCTTCTTTTTACCAAACATATGTCTTTCAACATAATCATATAGCGATAACACTAATACAAACCATTAATCTGTTTAGACTAAACCATTTTTCATGATCTCGAAAGTCGAAACGCAATCGTTAAAAGAAAATGATATTTTAAAAATCCATTTGTTCCATTCCATCTTTCTTTTTTACTCTCATCTCAACATGCAAACGCAAACACAGCGTTTTGCCGCTTCTAAACTCGCGTAACATTTTCAATCGCCTATCTATTTCAGACAAAACCGATCAATACATGAAACAACAACAACGATAAACAAAACGTTTTTCTCTGTTTGTCACAATTTTATGAATAGATTTACATTTAACAAAACAAAAATTCATATGTATATATTTATAATGTATATGTATGTACCGGTATAATAAGTAAATTGTCAAGAATCCAAAGCAAACGGCGTTTGAAGAAGATCATACGGAGACCAAAGCGCGTCTAACGGACAAGGCCTCCCAGCATCAAGCCTAGCCCAAGGCTTACCTTTCCCACTCCAATGCAACAAACTAACCGGACCAGGATGCAAGTCTCGACACAATCCCCTAAAATTATCCCCTCCCAAACCGTGCTGATTCCACCTATGATTAACCGGTTTAATCAAACCGGCGAAAACCAGCAAAAACGGCGGCAACGAACCTAGCTCGTAAATCCTCATCCTCTTCTGCATCGCCATCCACTCCTCGATGCGCGACGTGTACTCTCCCTCCCGCCACCGCGCGAGATCGATCACCATCACTCCGGTGTTGAAGTAACACGCCTTCCGGTCGGCGAACGTCAGGGAGAGAGTCGGGTTTGACCAGAACGCCGAGGTGAAGTAGGAGGTGAAGTTGGCGTTGCAGTACTCCGGCGCGGCGAGGACGGAGTCACGGCCGAGATCCGTGGCGGAGAGTTTTGAGATGTCGTCGACGAGGATGAGATCGGAGTCTAGGTAGACGACGCGGCGGACGCACGGCGGGAGGAGGTCGGCGAGGTAGCTCCGGGCGTAGTTCAACGGGCAGTCTAGGGCGGAGCGGATGGAGGTGGAGATTAGGGAGGAGACGGAGGAGACGTTGAAGACGTAGACGGAGAAGGTGAGGTAAGGGAAGGAGGCGGAGACGGTGGAGCGGAGAGACGACGCGTCGGCGGAAGCGGAGGCGACGAAGTGGAAGACGATGTTTTCGGGGCAGGAGGAGTGTTGGAGGACGGAGAGGACGGCGGCGACGGAGCCGCGAATGTAGGCTGCGTCGAGTGTCATGGCCACGTGGACAGCTCGACGAGAGCAGAGTATTTGCTTGGCCGACACGTCATCGTCGTCTCCGGGGTCTATTATGGGGCAATCAGCGGAATTGTAAAACTGTGGGGCTTCTTTGAATTTTTGGATAGTTGGAGAGGCGGAAATGGGATTGTTACAGAGAAGAATGGAGAGGAGAATGAGAAGAAGAAGATGTTGGGACATGTTTTTTTCTCAGACTCTGATTGTCTTTGGAAGGTTTCTCTCAACTGAGAAGAGCTGTCTCTGAGGCTTTTTAACATGAGTGTGTCTGTCTGTCTGTGTGCAAGAGAGAGAGAGAGAGAGAGAGAGATAAAAAGGGTTTTGCTTAGATTTTGGGTTTCTTTTGTAAATTTATATATTTATTAGATTCCAAGTCCTTTTCATCATTTGTTAATTATTTTAATGAATATGTTTAGTAATTTAAAAGATAAATAGCTTCTGAATCCCATATTGTGTCAGTAAACAAAGAAAATTTTGGTCAAATACCATTTACTGAGTTTTAGAATTTGGGAATTCTTTAATGTTTTCTTGTAGTAGTTGATTAAAGAAAATGTGGGAATTTATTACTTCCACATGTTAACTGAAGATCATTGACGATCCCATTATTTGCTATTTATTGTACATATTAATTGGTGACTAGTAAGTTTTCAGTAAGGTTTCTGTAGTCTTTGTAAACTTATTTCATGTTGTTTCCTACAAAATGCAAAAGAAATACATGGAAGTTGATATATGACACTGATGCGTACTTATCATAATCCAAGTCACACACGTAATTTACCTATATTTGTCTGCATGCAATACAAACAAACCGTCTTATAGAATTCGAATTTGGCGGATACATATGTCTTGATGATTTATATAAATAATGTGTGGCTAGTACTAGTACTTGCTATACGAATCAAACTGCACAAGACTTGGGGGAATATAAAAACGTGACAAAATGAATGTTTTGAGAAATTTAACAATTTAAAACTTAAAAGATAATTTTTTTGGACAAAACAAGATAATTTGTACATGGCTTGGTCAGTAATTCTTATGGTTGAGATGTTATGTTTAGTTTAAAACTTTATTGCCAATCTATTCGTTTTTGTTATAAGTTTTGTTAGTTTTTCTTTGAAGTTTCTATTATGGTCCTTTGTCACTTTCCATGACTATAAAATGCGTAGGTGAAATGATATTATATATATATATACACGTATATAAAAGAAAACTTAATCCAATTTAAAAAGTACATTGTAACGCTGGTATGCATTTTACAATATTGCTTCCACGCTTTTTTGCTTATTGGTTGTAGGTAGTTATATTTCAATGATTGAAATTCGGAAATTTCCTTCTACTGTTTTATTTCCTTAACCTTTTATTTTCATTTTCATTTTCTTTTTTATTTTTGGTTCTGGATGGGCACATGGTCAGTGAGTGGGTTTATCTTGTTCTATCCCTTCCAAATTTGCAAATAATCTAATAATTGTCAAAAAGCCTGAACTAAGATTTTAGAATAATCGATTATTGTTACTAGCTATTATGTAATTTAAAACAAATGTCATTAAAAATTAAATTTTAGGTATTGTCAAAAAGGTTTACTATTAAATAACATCATCTGGCGAACGTTTGTTATAAAATCTTAATTGTAAGAACTGATATTATTTTTAATTAATTGATATTCATGCGTACGTAAAAACAACATCAAGAAGGAAATTTAAGTCCTTTATTTTAAGCACATATGTAAGCTCGTTTTATCTAGTATGATAGTAGTTATGTTGCATAGAATTTGAGTGCATACTTTTTCATCACATAGTAAAAGTTTTTTCAAACAAATACAAAATCATTTCATAAATTTTGATTCAAATAACAGTAATTATAAGTTATAATCTAGAACCATGATCATAAAAACAAATGCAGAAAAAGCAAGACGCGTGGGCCAAACGTGAAGTGGAATAATATCTCAAATCTTAGTGGTATGACTTTTCTAGTCTTAGAGTTTAGACATCTTTTTTCCTGTATTCCTTTTTGCACTTTTAGATCATTTTATTTCAAATGAATTATATTCATATTGCAAACACAAGCTGTCGACTAAAAAAGTGTATACATTCGCCGATTAAGACACCTCCTTGCAATACACCATAAAATATCAAAAACATTGTGTAAGAAATACCAAGAATCGATCTTGAACCTCAGCCCTACAACCAGAATTTGATCCACCTGTTTCGACAATAGGATATTTATTTCAAGTCTTACTTGCACAATGGTTTTCATATATTGTTTCATTTGAGTTAAATTTTAAATGCAAGAAATAAATAAATTAAGATGCCAAAATTGATCTGTTGGGACATCGTTTTTTCTTGAAAATCGCTTCACTTGTTTCCTAAGAGAATTGGATGCTAAAACTCAACAACTATGATTACTCGTATTCATTTTTACTCAATGTTTATACGTTAATTAAATTAGAATTCTGCTTCAAACTATGTTCTAATGGATAATAAAAACCTCCGTGTGATAGATAATAAAGAAACAACAAACGTGAAGTAAAATATTAAGTTGGTAATTTTTGTCGTCTTAGTTCAAACTACAGACGAGTTCTATCTATTAATTTTTCAGGTTATGTATCAGTGAAGGCATATGGCTTCATATGACACATTTACACACAGACACGATCGTAATAGTAGAGAAGCATGCGTCGTGAGTGCATGAATAGAAGGCTTTTAGTTAATGCATGTTCCTGTATCTATGCAAGATACACATGCATCTGAGTTTTTTAGAATAAAATACATTAGTATATGATCGGAGACAAATACATTGTAGATTTTGCATGTGTGTGTGTGAACTCTCTTGACAAAAATTTGAAAAATACCCTGGGTCTCAAAGGTAGATTTAGAAAAAACATTTATAGTATATGTACACACTTCCATGAGTCCATAAAGCCATAACTTCAGTCTTCTTCTGCTGAATGGTTAAATCGGTACATATCCTACCTCCTAATAGTTAAAAACTTGGATGCATTGACTTCATGTGACTTAAATATCTGTATGTATAACCGTTCAATCCGATTCTTGTTTTAAATATGTATCTGCAGACTGCAAGCATGTTTTTGATAGATATAGTTTTAGACATATCCACATAGTAGTTAAAACATTATATATATGCTTTATGCACATCTAATACTCCAAGAAAAAAACATACATAATCTCCTTTACTGTTTTCTAAGGAAGAAAAAAACTAAAATTCTTAATAAAATTGGGTAATATTTCCTGAAATAACTATATAAATTTATATATTAACAACTGTTAAAATTTCGAAAAATAATGAGAGAAAAAATCATAATAGAACGAGTATATTTCTTACCCCCTAGGCAGACAGTTCTTCTGGTAGCTAGCTACAACCAAGTATAGGGAGCATATTGTCTTTCAAAGCTAGCACTAGAGAACATCTACTTGCTGTAAAAAACTTTATGCCAAAATTGGAAGAAGACAAGTAATCTCAGAGACAATCCCTTGACGAACAAAAAGACATTGTACGTGCAGACAATAATGTAGATTGAACCATCACTAGATTCACCGTACATAGCCTCTAATAAAAAGACCTTTCAGTACAATAAGAGGCTCCAAGAACGTGTTTGCTGTAACAAAAGCCAAACAATAATTCAATATAAGCCACCACCAGGACATGGTAATATAATTATCTAAACAACATATGTCTTGAAGAAACATCATTACGAGAATCCGACAGGGTAGTATTTATTAACACATATGAACAATTTTGCTAAGTACAAGATTACAAGCAAGCCAAACCATAACACAATTTCCCGGGTTTTTATGCATACAGTTCTCAAATAAACAAGTAGAAGCAAAGCTATCTAATCGATTCTCTTCACTAGCTTAACACGAGTGACAACACAACGACGATGAAAACAAAGCAAAGCAATGCCTTCAAATGATGGTCTTGTTGTCCCTGTCTCCCCGTGTACCGGTTATAACTATGCACATGCGAGTGTCCTCCATGGAAAGGGTTCGAGAACCCGTGAGGTAAACTACCAGAAGCAGCAGCAGCAGCTCCATACATGGCTGCATCAGGGAATCCATGGAAATGCAGGTTGAACAACGAAGGAATCAAACCACCAAACGCTGCAGGCAACGTAACGTTCCCGAACCGAGCACTCGCCACAGGAGCAGCTGCAAAGCCTCCCATGAACCCTCCAAAACCGTGATGACCACCAAAACCATGGTTTGGCTCAGGAGGTTGCGCTGTTTCTGGTCTCTGTCCTGTTGGACGGTTCGGAACTTGGATTCCAGGAATGGACTTGGACCTAGGATCGGTAGATGATTTGCCTCTACCGTACAAAGGAACCAGCCTGTCTTCTTGGATCACGGCTTTGCAAACGGGACATTCTTGTGAGTTTGAATGGAGATGGAGCCATTTGTATAAGCAAGGCCAACAGAACAAGTGACCACAGAGAGTGACAATGGGGTCTTGAGCCAAGTCGAAGCAGATGTTACATTCAAAGTTACTCGAATCATCGCTGTTTGTATTGTTGCCGGTAGAACAAGAAGGTACATCAGACATGATAACCAAAGGTTCTTTAACTCCTACAATAAACATTAATCACAGCAAGATTTGAATTAACTACAACAAAGAAAGATACTTAAGCAAGAGATTATTACTTTATTTAACTAATCAACAATTCGCATCAGAGAAAGATTCAAAAGGAATGAAATTAACGGATTTAGCTACTATAATTCAATTTGTTCAACTATAATTCAATTTGTTTTTGGAAAATTCTTTGTAACATCGATCTAAATCAATAAATTTATTTGCCAGAAAAAACATAACAATGATCATGGATTCATTACACAGTTAACTGCTGGATAAGGATCCAATAAACCTCTAGATCTCTCTGTTAAACCACTAAAATATTCGGTTATATATATTAATAACCAAACTTAGAAGAAGAAGAAGAAGAAGAAGAAGAATAATCTAAAACGAAGTGATGATCGGAATACCTATTGTTTAAAGAGTTCAATGGCGGCGATGAAGGGATCGATGACCGATCGCGAGGAGAAACGTTCGCTTAAGGGTTAAGATTGGCCGGAGACACGGAGGAGACCGAACCATGGAAATATCTTTTTGACAATTATTTAACTTACCTGTTTTTTTCCTTTTAATTTTGTTGTCTTTTTTTTAATTTATTTTACCTAATTGGCGTGTCGTGGTGGTCCCAAAGTACACGTGAGCACATGTGAACACGTGACTTTTTAACTAGTGGTTATGTGAAGTCAACTATGTCTTGTTGACCGTTGGATGGGTGGGTAGATAACGGATCTAGTAAAAGTTTTTTTTTTTTGGTATTATTACCGACGACACGAGGCGGCTAAAAATTAAAAAAGCTTTTAAAAGTCTATTTTAACAGTGTTGGTTTGACTTTTTACTATCCTGAACTTCAACTGCAACTCACATTTCTGAGTTCCCTGCACTCCACCGTGAAATATCATTACAACGGATCCTATTCGAAAACCAGAGAATGTCCAACGTGAAAGTGTTGTCCTTGGACCTAGTGCAGTCCATCCATCGGGAGTCCACCATTTTGTAGATCGTTTCGGTCCATCAACTATCCAGCACCGGCTCAAATTTTCCCAGGGCCCTGGGCCAACATTTTTTTTGCATCTTGTAGTGACATTTTAGAAAAATAATTATTTTCTAAATAAAATTTTAAAATAACAAATTTTAAAATTATTTATATGAGAATTTTGTAAAATTTATGAAATGTATCCACAAGTAATCCTTATAAAGTTTCATCTCAATATAAAAAGCGCTGCTGGACTAACTTCTTTTTTTACCACAGAATCATTTGAACCGTGACGAAAGTGTGTTGCTTTATTTTAAACAAGAGGTGATTACTAGACATTTTCTGATTTGGTCGGTGGTCACATGACACCCTCCTCCCCTAAAAAAGAGAGTATTAAACCTATTTTTGCGGATGACATGTCACATGTGAGATCATACAAACCAATGTTGCAGCGCTTTTTTTACTATTCAATAGATATATCTTTGCAGGTACTTTCTGTTCTTAACTTCTTCATATGCTTTTGCATGCTTCAGTGTATCTATAATATGTGTTTTTGTTCCTTAAAACCTTATATGAATAGGTGCTGTTGGATATTCTGTTATTAGAATTCTCAGTTTTCAAATTCAATTCTGTTATCATACAATCTTGTATAGTTTTGATCTTCCACATTTTGTGTAACTACTCGGCCTATTTATGCCTTGTAAGTGATAACGCAATATTCAAGCGAAATCAGTTTACTTTCACAGCCGTGCAGATGAGTACATCGGGTAATGATAGAACGAGCTTTGATCCTCTCTCATAGCCGTCTTTGGTTTGAAAAGTGGTGAAAAACCTAAGACCTAAAAGGCTAAAACCAAATAATCCTTCTAGTTGCTTTTGATCCCTTAATCCATTAATTTATTCTCTGCTTTGATCTATGCTATTTTGTATTACTTGGAAACAGTGGCGGATCCATATCTATCATTATATTATCAAATTTTAAATTAATCACTTATACAAAAAAGAAGAAGATAAAAAAATACAGAAAAATATGAATCATATGAATTTGAACTCAAGTTAGGGGGTGTGGTGTTTCTCCAAAAAAAATTAAGGGGGTGTTGGTTACAAATACTTTAACCCTAGCCAAAATATCCATTTTTTAAGTTTGAAAATCTAAGTTCTAGTATAATTTAACGCGGTTCAAATGACATCCCTACCGTACACATAGGTCTGCTTCTGCTTGTAATTTTGGAATAAGTTCCTATGAATGAGGATACTTTTCTAAGCTGTAAATGATGTATGACGAAAATATTACGAAATATGTAAGCAACTAGTAGTGCTAATTTAATACCGAGACTCAGCAACGAGAGGTCTTCGAGAATTTCGGAAAGTTTATTCAGTGGTTACGTAATAAACACGGCACTTGTAACTGTCGGTCATTAAGGCTATCAAAATGGATTTAAACTCTTTTGAGTTTTTTCACACCCCTCATTGCAACGGGGGCATAGGTCTTGTAAACACACAGTATTAATCAATGATCATAAATTATTTTGCTTACAGTTTTTGTAAGTTTCCTTGGCATTCATATATGTACCGCTGCTTTTATGTGACAGTCTTGGAAGGAATTTTATGTTGTCCAAATAGTAAATATGTACTTATAATTTTTTATATGAATGGTCAAATGTTATTATGTATACTACAATCACATATATGAGTGCATATCGTTCTTATTACTAATAGATGAATCAATAGGAAAAAACGACGAACAAGAATTTTTGCGTAAAAACAAGTCGGTTCACTTAATGAAACGGGACCTTTCTTGGACAAGAAAACTATTTGAGAAAGTTGTCTACACATTTATATAAATTAAAGATAGTTATTGATAATTGAGTACATACAATTTTTTGACAAAAATTGAGATACGTAATCAATACTAGTATTTTGACGTATGTGGAAAATAAAAAACGTAAAATGACAAAAACTGAAAGCGAAACAAACTCGTACAAGAAAATTCAAGTTGCGTCGTATGTTTTGGATCTTTGAATGATGTAGTAGAAAAGTAATCACCAATTGGCAATTGCCATATCTACCTGTTTTCCGTTCACCTCGCATATCCCAAACCCAAAACATCAGTTTGCAAAAGACACACCAATTAGACCGGAACCAAGAAAATTATAGTTCAAATGTTTGTTATTTGAAATACTGAAACTACAGGTCAGATGAATCCTATCTACATATTTACGTATCACATGCACATTCTAATATGGAAAAGAAATTATATTGTCACTTGAATCTTTAGAAAAATGATATGGAAATTGGCTCTAACAAAGAAATCACCATTACAAAAGACTATTCAACCATATGTTACCGACAGGGGCGTACCTAGGTGAGATAGATGGGGCAAATTACACATACGAAAGTTATTTTTATATTAATTTTACTGAAAATTCAGGAAGTCAAATGGTTTAATCTTCCATGGTCCATGAATTGTTGTTTAAATCTTCTTAGGGGTGTTATTCAATTAGTGATTTAAAATCAATTTAAAATATTTTACAATCTATCAAATTTTAAATTTTAAGATTATTAAAGTTGATGGATTCTAAAATCTCTGCAATACCCTTGGATTTTGAGTTTAATCATTTATTCATTCGAATCCATCATTGATGATTTGAAATCTATTTATATTACAAAGAATTTTAAAATCCTTAAAAGTTGAATAACACCAGATTTTAAAACCTGAAATTCAATCATAAATTGAATAACTCTAAATTTTAAAATAGAATTTAGAATCATCAATTAATAATAGAGGATTGTGTTTAGATTTAAATTCTCTTAAAATATATGATTGAATAACACCATTTTACTATGATCTGTTATTTGCTATCGGTTAAAATTTGAATTTGATTCGTTATGGCTTTGGTTCAATAAAAAAATCTAAACATATCTAAAATTTTAAATACGAAACAAAACATAAACTCTAAAGTTTGAAGAAGTGGATATCCACTCTGCTTTGACAGAAGTATAAATAAAAGTATATCTTGATTAATATAGAGTTCTAAATGTATAAGTTAATATAGTTATTATTTAGTAAATTTTATCCACCTTATTACTTGTAAAGTATTAAATCAAGAAAAGAAGAAAAGAAGAAATTTTTTTTTACCTTTGAACTAACTTTTAACACAGTTTCTTTTATTTTCTTTTCCCATATTTCTAGATTATTGATATTAATAAAAATAAAACATCTGTAAATATTCCTAACTACCTGTAAATATTTACATAAGATTCGGGTATCTGTATTTTTTGGAACAAAACAAACTGATAAATTAGACAAATAACATACAAAACAAATCATTAATACCCAAAAAAAATTAACAGTATTCGTTCCATTCCTAGGGTACTCTAACCTCTGTTTGCTAGTTCCATCCCTGGTTACAGACTAGATTAAATTGTATACATTCGTATGTCTTTGTCAAGTCTCCCTAACTTGAGTTACAAAAGTCGTCTATATCGTCTTTTCATTATGCCCGTGGAAAGTTCCACTTGTGGAATTTACTTATGTGTGTAACTTGGCCAAACAATTTAACTACGAGGTACTTAATTCAAGCTTTTTTTGCTTAATGCAATTGGTGCATTTGTTTGTATAAAATAAAATTTGGATTACTTGACTATATACTATCTTTAAAAAATATACCTCCTCAATGTTAACTACTACCTAAAACCATATTAACTACAGTTATATAGTATAAAGTAATCTCATACAATTTTTAAAGGTAGTCACTAGTTTAATTACCATCGATAATTTTTCAAAGAGTTTAGCTATATATAGGATTTTGGTTCAATTTCTTTTTGTCAACTTATTTCAGTTTAGTTTATTCAGTTATCTAATGCGTTTCTAGTTTTAAAAATAGAAGTAAAGTGAAACAAAATGTAATAGTGACCAAATACAAAAAAAAAGAGAGAGTAAAATTGAATATAATGTCTAATGTGTGCTAGCTAGCCGGTTTTATGTAGTTTGGTTTTTGATATATCCATACCTTTTATGTAAATTTATTTTTTCTTTTAACTTTTCATATTTTTAGTTTGGTTCGGATTTTACTTTTATTTTGCGTTTATATATAGCGAAAGTAACTAGTGTAAGTGTGTAACCGTATTAACTAGTTGTATCACTTTCTAATATTTTCTCTTGTCATGAAAGAGTTCTTTCAGTTTGACACAACCTTTTTAATAAAGTTGATTTATTTATATATTAATTTATATAGATCCAGATCTCTTGTTTTTATGACGTTCAAGGATCTGCTAATTCTATAAAAAAGACATAGGTTACAAATGGAATGCTATTTTATGGGATCCTATAGTTTAGAACGTTTTATTCTTCTTAATTAATATTTACTAGTTACAACTAAAACATTGTTAAAAATCACATATTCTCATTATTTTTTTTTGTTTCAGATTGTAAACCTATACGAATAAATTAAGTAACTATTCTTCTTTAAAAAAAATCAACCCATCGCTATTATCTATATAGTAGTATTTCCAGACAAAATTATCTTAATTTATATTTTTTTCCTAATATGCCTTCTTATTTTTCTTCTGTATTTTAAGAAAGAAATAATATTTATTTATTTTTACTCTAAATATATAAAAATACAATTTAGAAAATACATTAGAATATATTTCACATCTGTTATAAATTTAAATCTAGTTTATAAAAAAATAAAAATACATAAAAATGATCTAATATTTTTATTTATTTTATCTATTATCATATTTTTCTATTTCCTAAATAATCATTCTTTTTATTCTGCATATTTTATGTAGGAAAATCTAGTTGCAAGTTGCAACCAGTATTCACGTCAGTCCTTATGAATTTTATAAAAATATTATTCTGAAAATAATAAAATTCAGTCGGTAACACACTTGAAAATTTACTATAAATAGAGGGATCCGTGCCATTAACTTTCATTCATCATTACATACACATTCGATCAATACTCAAGAATATAAAAATGGCGAACTTCTCTGGTTCACACCTTCTCCTCTTCTCCTTCATCATCGCAACAGGTACACACACATACATACATTTTCTTCTTATTAGATTTCCACAATAATTTTCACAACAATAATTTTTATTTCATGCAGAGAAATTGATATAATATAAGATAATATAATATAAATATAATCTAACAAACTTTGATTGCTTATTTTGCAAGGGACACTATCCGTTGTCTCCGGCACGGTCTTCACCATTGTGAACAGCTGCAGTTTCAACGTCTGGCCAGGTGTCCTCACCGGAAACGGTGCACAACTCAACGACGGCGGCTTTCTCTTAACCCCTGGAGCTTCCGTCGATTTAACCGCACCCGCGGGATGGTCGGGCCGAATATGGGGCCGAACGGGCTGCAACTTCGACGGCTCGGGCGCTGGAAGATGCGTCACGGGAGACTGCGGCAACAAACTAAAATGCGCAGGCGCAGGAGGAGCTACACCGGTCACACTCGCCGAGTTCACAATCGGCACTAACGGCGGGCAGGACTTCTACGACGTAAGCCTCGTCGACGGCTACAACGTGCAGATGGGAATCACGACGCGAGACGGCTCAGGCGATTGCCAAAACGTTGGATGCGTTTCGGACCTGAACGGGAGCTGTCCTAACGAACTACGCGTTATGGACGGGGGGAACGTTGTGGCGTGTAAGAGCGCTTGCGCGGCGTTTAACAAACCGGAATATTGTTGCACCGGTGCGTTTGATAAGCCGGAGACTTGTCCTCCGACGGATTTCTCGAGGATATTTAAAGCGGCTTGCCCTAAAGCGTATAGCTACGCATACGACGACGCTTCGAGTACTTTTACTTGCACCAATGCTAATTACTCCGTCGTTTTCTGTCCCAAATAGATACATCATACATGCATACATTATTATCATTATCACACTATCATAATCATCAAGTACTACAGCGGATGTAATAAGAGCTTTTGCGGAATGAGATAAATTCCGTAGCTGACATTATAGTGAATAATAAAGATACAGAATAAATTTTATGAAAAAGATCGTGTGATTATCTTTTTTTTTGTGTGTGTGGAATGATGACGGCATACTATATAATTACCAACATAGACAATATCTAATATTCAGAACATGAATGATTTTAGTTTTACTCACGCAATAAATGCAAAATATTTTAATCATAATTATATTAATTATATGGTATATAATTATCCTCCTACATAATTATATATTTTTAATTTAATTTACAAATACGATCGGATTCGTTCTGTTACTCTAGTAATTTATTTTTTGGATCTTGTTTATTATCCAAACGCAGCGTTCTATAAAAGTAATTCACCATGCCATGCATATCTATAAACACCGATTCTTGTTCCTATACGTTTATACTCCGCTAGAGGACTAGTGAAGCCAAGAAGAAAGGGGAGGCAGATTCTGCCGTGAGAGTCTGAGCGTTTATATAGAAGGCGAGGGTAAAAAGTATGAAGTTATATCAAATCTAATTGCAGCAAGAAAAGAAAGATTGAAAATCTTGGATGTGTTGTTTATTGCGCAAGAAAGGACGGAGATAATAAGTGCATGAAGAGAAATGAAAAGGAAGTTTAGTTGTATGTATTCTTCTACTCGATCGCAGCAGAGCTATTAATAGATTATGTTTCAATCTAGTAGTATAAAATTATGGTACTAGTCGTTTAAAAAAAGGGAGAGAAAGTGGTCTCATTAAAACATATCTACATTATAACATAGTAATTTCAATTGGTAGCTTTAGAGGGTCATGTTTTTTTTTTGCTAGAATTTAGAGTCATGGCTAAGGGTCTTTTTTGTTTGATGGGGGGTAATTACATGGCTAAACAACAGACGCAAGAAGAAGCAACATTCTACTCCTTAGCCAAACATCTCCCCAATGAACTAAGCTAGCTGCAGCAAGCCACAAATGGTTAAAAGTCGGATTAGCCCTACTTACAGGATCTGTTATAAAGGCAAGGCTTGTTTCATTAACTGATGCAGTTAAGATCAGTGTTTCTGGTTTCTTTTGATTGCAACTTGGAGCCTTTCTTCATTCTCTTTGCATCTTGGACAAACCCCATAATAACTTGAAGCTCATCCATTTGCTGAAATAACACAACATTTTAGTTGTATTATATTGCTTTACCTAGAATGGATTAAGTATTATGTATTTCAAATCTAATGCCAGAATCGTGTAAGTTATTATTATTATTTTTTTTTTTTAAAAGCTAGTTTTCTATTTAAATAAAAAAGAAATAAAATGATACAGTCAGACAGAATTTGTTTTTTTTTCTTTAAATTAACCTGGGGGTATTTTATATCCATGGACAGGTTCAGACTAATTCTTAAGGAGAGGTGCAGTCCATATATAAACCTTCTCTTCAAGCATTCAAATGGGCCCTAAAACATCGGCTCATATCCGTGTTAGGAGACTAGGATAATTGTGATTTAGTTTTATGTAGCAGATGAATCGAACCTGAAACATATTGGTGTTTCATCCCCATTTTCTTATCATTTGACCACAATCATCCGGTCTCGAAGGCATAATTGTTTGAAGACAGAACTAGATGATTAGAAGTTTTGTGGAATGAAAAGAATTTAGAGAAAGCCCAGTTGACTGAAATTTGTAAGCCTAATCTTTCACTTAATAAAAGTTGTGTCCTGGCCCAAGAAACAAGGTTGAGGAGTCCATTATAGCAACGACAACGGTTTAGCCAATCTTTTTTTTTTTTTGGGCCAATCTTTGATCTAGAAATCAGCCGAGAAAATGATGACGTCGATTGTCGCAAGAATCGATGAACCAGATGAGTATCGAGTAGGAGACCGTGTAGCTGAAACAGCGAGTTCCATTTGGAGGTCACAGATGGAGATAGTCCCTCCAAGATCAAAACCGAAACTAAGCAGTCGTCACGTAGAGTAAACCAACATGCAGAGTCACTGAACGTTTCTGGCGGGATGATAACAAAATCACATATAGAAAATTCACATGGGTCAGTTGACCCATATGCTAAAGGGGTGGCTCCGCCACTGTGCATTAGCCTGAGTTCGAAAATCATCCCTTAACATTCTTGTGGCCAATGAGGGATTCGCTTCCCTAACAACAGAGATTTTGTTTCTGACCAGTAGAGTCAATCGAGGCCCGGTGTAAGCTTCAAGCACATATATTTGTGTATTTCTTTCTTAATACTGATAAATAAATTATAGGCAGATCAGTTAGCTTAGAGATCTAGTTTATTCTTTTTCATTACCTTAAACACAAAGGTTATATATATATGATGTACATAAAGTTTTTCATGGATAAATTTTATCATTCATTCAAAAGAAAAAGAAAATTTCTATTCATGTGATCAAAGGATACATTAAAGGTTACCTACAAAAAAAAAATCACAAAAAAATAAAAATAAATTGCTAGGTAAAAAAGTCCGGGAAAAAAAAATAGCAAACTTTTCATAAACAAGTCAATTCATTTAGTGAAACGGGGACTTTTTGTAATTTTTTTTTGTAACTTGACCACAGTTTAATAAAATTAAAGATTTTTACTGATAGTTTAGTACAGAGATTAGATATTTTGGTTTAATGAGAACGTAATCAATACTAGTATTTTGACGTACATGGAAACTAAAAAACGTAAAATGACGAAAATGAAATCGAAATAAACTAAAACTCGTACAAGAAAATTCAAGTTGTGTCGTGTGTTTTGGATGTTTTAATAAATACATGATCATGATAGTAGAAAAGTAATCACCAATAGGCAATTGCCATATCTATTAGCTTTCCGTTGACCTCGCATATCCCCAACATCAGTTAGCACAAGGACACGCGACTTAGACCGGCTGCCTTTAATTAACTTTTGCTCTACCAAGAACATAACCATCACAAAAGAATATTCAACCATCTGTTACAGACTAGATTACCCGGTATGTTTTTTGTCAAGTCTCCTTAACCCCTGTTTCACTTACCAAGTCGTCCATATATCACACTCTGCATTTATTATTGACTATGCCCGTGAAAGAAATACTTCAATTTAGTTACTTCTTAGTACAGTTTCAAACAATTCTTTTGTACAAAATAAAATTTGGATCGATAGACTATATATTATCTTTTATAACATACTAGGAAACCACCCCGCGCGGTTTACGCGCGGGAGAAAAGATGTTTTTTTTTTTAAATTAATTTTTATATAATTTATATTTGTTAGTCAATCATTTTGAATCATTTAATAAACTAATTATTTTGTACGAAGATCAATACTTAAAAATAATCTTATATAATAGAAGAGTGAAAATATAATTTGCGTTTGAAAATGTATAAATTTAAATGTTATGTGTTTAGCATAACAATATTAAGTAAACTTTAATATTAAAGTCGCAGTCATTTTCTTTTATCCTTTTATATATGAGAAGACAAACTTTTATAATTTTTTGAAATGATGAAACAGTTTAAATATTTTAATTAAATAATATAATATGTTTTAAAACAATGTAATTATCATGCAAAGAACGACATTTTTAAATTTATGAGGCTTAGTACCTCCATACAAACTGGGTTAGAAATACAAAAAAAATGGACTTTATTAGAAGTAGAATAAGAGATTACACAAAAAAAATTTAGGTTGTTTTCTTACAGCCAGATTGGTTTAGATATGGTAGTTTAGTTTCACTGAAACTAAATCTATTGATTTATTTTTGCAGACACCACATTAAATTTTTAAAGATCGTTTAAAACTATATAATGAATCAAACATTATATTCAAGAGTAGTAAGAATCATACCTATATTAGAAATAAAAAAAACACATAAATTTTCTTAAAAAATTGCATCTGTAAAACGTTCTATTTTTAGTAATCTATAAAGGTACATTGATAGATTATCAAGAGTTGTGTTTTGTTTTAAAATGAATATTTTCAAGAGTTGCGAGGAAAAAAAAAGTTCAACCAAATACATTTTCAGGACCATTAGATAGAACCATAATAATTACAACCACGAGACTGAAACTCTTCAAAAAATTTTTTAAAAATCAAGAATTAGGGAAAAGTATGACTCTTCAAATTAAAGAGATGTGTTGTTTGAAAAAAAAAACTGCTCATAGATTTTAGTTTAAGTATAAAAAAATTATCAATACCAATAAAAGAAAAAAACCAATTATAACCAAAGATTGTAATCCTTCAAATATGAAAAAGTATGACTCTTTCATGTAAAAAGATGTGTTGTTTGAAAAGAATATATGTTAATGCCATAAATATCGTATGTCTAAAAAACATTTCTTAGGACAATTTCATGAAAAAACAAAACAATGGTTGAAAAATTGTATCTTTTCATAATAAACTGAAATATATTAGTTTAAAAGTTGCATCTTTCATTATAAAAATAATTGTGTATTTCAAAAAAAAAAATGTTGAAAGGTTGTATCTTTTCATAAGAACCGAATTATATTAGTTTAAAAGTTGCATCTTTTCATTACTAAACAAAGTTTATGTTTCAGATAAAATAGTTTAAAAGTATTTAAAAGAGAGTATAAGAATTGTGTCTTCTCAAAATAACAATTGTTGAAAGGTTGTATCTTTTCATAAAAAAAAACTTAAATATATTAGTNTTGCATCTTTTCATTACTAAACAAAGTTTATGTTTCAGATAAAATAGTTTAAAAGTATTTAAAAGAGAGTATAAGAATTGTGTCTTCTCAAAATAACAATTGTTGAAAGGTTGTATCTTTTCATAAAAAAAAACTTAAATATATTAGTTTAAACATTGCATCTTTTCATTATAAAAATAATTTTGTATTTAAAAAAAAAATCTATTATTTTAAAAGTTGCATAAAAATTTTATTTGGACCATTATATGAAAAACAAAACAATTGTTGAAAACTTGTATCTTTTCATAAGAACTGAAATATTTTAGTTTAAAATTTGCATCTTTTCATTATAAAAACAATTGTGTCTCAGAAAAAAATAATTTAAAAATATTTAAAATAGTTATAAGAGTTGCGTATTCTCATAATAAAAATCTACTAATTAAACAATCTTGATTAATTTCAAAGGCTGTGAATGCCGAATAAAAAGAAAATTGAGACTCTTTATAAAACTGTCTATAAGTGTGAAAGGTTGAAAATACAAAATAAAATGAAAAGTTGTGTCTATTTAAAGAACTGAAATATCTTATTTTTAAAGATTGTGTATGTTTTCATAAGAACTAAAATATATAAGTTTAAAAGTTGGACTTTTTGTTATAAATAGAATTGTGTTTTTTTATAAAATAATTTCTACTATTTTTAAAATTGCATCTTTTTCATTATAAAAAAAGTTTGTGTCTCATAAAAAATAGTTTAAGAGTATTTAAAAGAGGTTGTAAGAATTGTGTCTTCTCATAATAACAATTTTTGAAAGGTTATATCTCTTCATAAAAAATAAAATATATTAGTTTAAAAGTTGCATCTTTTCATTATAAAAACAATTGTGTCTCAGAAAAAATAATTTAAAAATATTTAAAATAGTTATAAGAGTTGTATCTTCTCATAATAAAAATCTACTAATTATAACAATCTTGATTAATTTAAAAGTCTGTGAATGCCAAAAAAAAAAAAATTGAGACTCTTAATAAAATGTCTATTAGTGTGAAAGGTTGAAAATACAAAATAAAATGAAAAGTTGTGCCTCTTTAAAGAAATAACTGAAAGATTGTGTCTCTTAATAAATAAAATGAGAGGTTGTCACTTAATAAAAATCTCAACTAATTCTAAAGGTTGTGAATGTCAAATAAAATAAAAATTGTGTATCTTAATAAAAAATCTCAATTAATTCTAAAAGTTGTGAATGTCAATCAAGATGAAATGTTGTTACTCTTAATAAAAATATCAATTAATTTGAAATGTTGTAAAGGTAAAATAAAATGAAAGTTATTTCTCTTAATAAATAAAATGAAAGGTTGTGTCTCTTAAAAAAATAAAATGAAAAGCTGTGTCTCTTAATAAATAAAATGAAAGATTGTGTGTCTGAATAAAAATACCAATTAATTCTAAAGTTGTGTATCTTAATAAAAATCTCAATTAGTTCCAGAGGTTGTGAATGCCAAATAACATGAAAAGTTATAATTCTTAATAAAAACACCTATTAATGTGAAATATTGTAAAGGCAAAATAAAATAAAAAGTTGTGTCTCTTTAAAAAAAAGAAGGAAAAATTGTGTTTCTTAATAAATAAAATGAAAGGCTATGTATCTTAACAAAAATCTCAATTAATTCTAAAGATTGTGATGCCAAATAAAATAAAAAGTTGTGTATCTTAATAAAAATCTCAATTAATGTGAAAGGTTGCGAATGCCAAATAAAATTAAATGTGGAGTATTTTTGAAAAATATATTTTATGATTTGTTATATACCCTTAAAAGTGTCTTTTAAGGAAACAAATAAATAATTAACCTTCTCTGATTATTTTTATATTTAATTTTAAAAATGGTTTGCATTTAAATTTGGCATACAAACTTTATAAAGTAGTTCCATAATTTGTTTAACACGATACACCTTGGATTGT